TACCAAAGTCAGAAAGTGTTTAGGCTTGTGTAAACACGAAATGTGTTAGGCACGTTGTAACCAACAACAGAGAATAAACTCCCCAGCCAGACCGACATGTGAAATTGTCATTCACCCATTAAATAACGAAAGATACTACAGTCATTCCTACGGTAGACGCCTCATATAACACGCGGACATATAATCAACGACCTCACCAGCCAGGACTCAAACCCTAGACCTCATGAGTGTGACCAGGGAAAGCTACCCACCATGCCAAAGACACTAAAAGCTATCCTAGACTATTTTATATTTCACACAGAACCTGTTCATCGAGCTGATGGCGCCGTGAACCTCCCATTGGGGATTGCCCATGCCACTTATGATGGTCACACGCATCAGGTCGAGGGTTCGAGTCCTGGCTGGTGAGGTCGTTGATTATATGTTCAAGTCCGCGTGTTATATGGACTAAAATGAAGTATATATGGTACTTCGTGTTTCAAACCAGCTGGATTCGGTAAATGCTTCCCACCACATAAGTGGCAAGGGCAATCCCAATGGGAGGTTCACGGCGCCATCAGCTCAATGAACAGGCTTTATGTAAAAATATAATAGTCTAGGATTACAACTTTGTCTTTGCGCTGGCATGGTAGATGCTTTCCTGGTCACATGCATAGGTCTAGGGGTTCGAGTCCTGGCTGGTGAGGGTCGTTGATTATATATAAAAAAAAATATATATATATATATATATATATATATATATATATATATATATATATATATATATATAAATTAATGGAATGTATAAAGGTCGTTTAAAATATCTAGACCAGTGGTTTCTCCTTTTATCATTCCATTCCCCCCTTGAGAATTTTCAACATCCATATGGCCTCCTTCATTTTCTCCCCCAAAAAAACTAATGTTGAAAAATAAAATGCAGATGAAGAGAATACCTTTTATTTCCGGGTTGACAATCATCATTATCTTATATTTTGATAGACTTACGCAGTTTACATAACTGGCGTCACTAGACTAGAGTGACTACTAGACAAGCCTCACCAAACTTGAATTTTGGTTGGGGAAAAGTTCATATGACCTCTGCATATTTTGTCGCCCAGCTCAATGGAAGGCTGACATTGTTTCCTTTCAGTCAGGTGACTGATCCGGGTTGTGTCACTGACAATGCTATCTCATATTAGGTCACATTCAGTCGGTTCCGGCTTTTTACTCTTTATATGTAGAAGGGTGGAAACCAGATTGGCATAAATAGGTAATTGAAAAAAGGCAAGAGGACTCGAAGTGCAATCTCGCTAACTTTGGATAAACTGATACATTGAGCACCAGAATACAGTCACAGATCTTTCTTCATAGAGATCTTTGGCAGCAGAATCGTGTGAGATCAAGAAATTCGTCCTGAACATCATGAACTCTTGCTAAGAATATTGTGTGACTATTTAGAATATCAGTGGTTCTCAACCTTTTTCACTCCACGAGGATGTTGAAAATTCCTCAAGAAGGGGGGTTTGAGGAATTTTCAATATCCTCGTGGCCTCCTTCATTTTTCCCCCAGAACAGACAAACAGACAAGTGATAAAGACTAAAGAATGATAAAGAAGGACAGATAAATAGGACAAGAGTTAAAATGGCAAACACACACACACACATTCACATACATAACACGCCCATGCACTCACACATAAAGCACACATACAGTCATACACAAACATGCACACAGGTAAACATTCACACTCAAGCTAGCGAGCTGAAGTGTACTTCCTGTAAGCAAGAACACGCCTCCTTTGACAAGCACTGCCCAACTTGGAAGAATGAGAAGAATAGTGAGTCATACCAATTTATCACTAAAAATGGTAGGATTAAATAAGTAAAGAATGAATGAGTATGAACAAGAATGGCACCAATAAATAAGGAAATAATTAATAAAGGACGTGTATAAATATTTCACCCACGTAAAGCAGCGACCACATGAATTATGAAACAAAATAAGAAACACCAATTACGGAGTATATTATGCTTGAGTCAAGCTCAAACACAATATGTGGTCAGAGACAACACACTCCACTGTTTTCGTGATGGTATCCCAGGCCAGACTGAGATCATTCGGTCCTATCACCACTTGCAAAGGGATAACACACGGACACGTACTGAACAAGTCAGTTCAGCAGCTCGGCTCCTGCGCCTGTCACACAGACAGGGACTGGACCTATGAAATCTTAAATAATCCGTAAAAAAAAAAAAAAGCACCAGAGTATGTAAATATTAAAATTGTATTGTCGTTATGATTAAACAAAATGACAAAAAAAGAATGAAAATTCTCTTCTGCCAAGTCAAAATAAGTAATACAAGTTTTACTCAATTCAGATTCCCAGCATTATTTGGAAACGTACAATTTATAACAGCTCGCCGTGGCTTCCCTAAATTCTTGCCGTGGCTCCCTTGGGGGCCATGGCCCCCAGGTTGAGAACCACTGATTTAGATGATAGGAGAGCACAAATTCAATTTGGAAACTTTATGGGAACTATGTTTAATATCAAGAGTGGAGAACCTCAAGGAGGATGCCTTTCTCCAACACTATATACAATTTATACCTCAGACACACCTCAACCTACCCCCTTTAGCGAACATGTAATGTTTGCTGTTGATATCACTCAAATAGTATCATACCCAGGGAAATCAACCCAATTTATGGCAAGCTACATGGCAACAGCGATAAAAAACATAACTGACTTTGAGAAAAAATGGAAAATCAGGACAAATATGAACAAATTCAAGATACTACCAATACCCAAGATCAAAACAAGTCCAGTAATAGTCGATCAGGAACTATACCCATACAACACTGAAGGCAGAATGCTTCGACTAAAACTAACAAACAGAGGATATGTAACTAACATAAGAGATAAAGAACGTCAGGCAAGAATAAGACTAGCAAAAATAAAACGATTTAAGAACCTTTGTATAAATAGCAAAAGAAATATTTATATAGCCCTTGTCAAATCAATTATGGACTACCCACCCATCCCATTAAACACCCTTAGTAAACGAGCATTAAAAGGTTACAAACAGTTCAAAATATAGCCCTCAGATCTATTTATAGCATAAAATATACAGACCACATCAATAATAAACAGCTACACGAGAGAGCAAACCCCCAAGCAATCAATGTAGAAATACACAAGGCCGCAAAGATTTGGAACAAAGTGACGGAACTCAACACAGAAACTTACCAAAACTGGATAAATAATATAGATAATGAAGAAATCCAAGAACATGGTTCGTTTAAATCAGCCAGAAAGAAAGTAACTGAACCATCTCCTACCCCATTATACACATACAACTTTAATAGAGAGAATAAAAGATGAGAGTGACCTACCAGCTCCACTAAGAACCTGACAGGCCTCTCCATACAG